TCCCAATTTTAATCNCTTTGACTTATTTACTCATTCCTTGCGAAAAAATTGGGATTTTTTTTGTTTTTCTACAAATGTGAAACGCATATTTGAAAATTTCTGAATTATTACTATTTTCTTGAAAACTAACCATTAAACTCTCATGTAAGTGATATATATATATATATATCTATATCTATATATATATATAGTCTATATATATTATATTCTATATACCTATATCAATATATATCTCTCTTTTCTCTCTATAATCTCAATATCTATCTCCTATCTATACATCTCTTTCTCTCTCTCACTCGACCTCTCTCTCTCTCTCTACTCTCTCTTCTTCTCTGCCCTTTTAATTTCTCCACCTTTCCTTCTCTGCTTTTCTCCCCTTGCTCTTCACCCCTTCCCTGCTTTGCAACTATTATAGGTTGAGCCCTGGCTTTTTCCCGGGGGGTTCTTGTTTTTTTCTAGTTTTGCACCTTCTGTCACAGCAACCGCATCAATAATGTGTTGGGTGAGGAAAAGGAAAAACAAATGAACGAACAGAGCAAGAACAATAAATTGCGGTGTCGCGGTTTACTGTGTGTGAGTGAGAGAAAATATGAAAATGAGAGAGAAACAAATTAGATAAGTGAAGAAGATGGATTAAGGTTAGACGAGTGTTTCTGAGTTTTTCAATTGTACTGACAAAGAAAAGGTTGGGGTGAGAGAGATGAAAGAGAAAGAGTTGAGAGGAATGAGGAATGACAGAGAGGTAAGAATGAAAATTATTCAAATATTATTGACCTTAAGATTTAGAATCCATAATATGTAAGGGTATTTTTATCCACTAAAATCCAATACACATTGCTAAAATGTATCAATTAAAAAAAGCATACGCAAGTTACAGACTCATATATATATATATATATATATATATATATATATATATATATATATATTGTTTTTGTGTATAATGTTTGTTATGGTTTGATCATTTATGTATTGATACTTGATTATTAGAAAATATTTTTTGTAGTCTATAATTGTAACAAAATGTCTAATAAAACATTTGACTCATTAAGTTTGGGAAACTCTAGTTGTGAAAGTAATTTTATTTAATAAAGATTCCATGCATTAACTCATAATAAAGAAACATAGACTCATCCATTAAAAATTTAGGGTTTAAGTAAAATTGTGGGTTGATCTTAGCGTTAAATTGAAGAGAAGAGAAGTTGAGTAATTACATAGAGTTTTGATAAAATCTAACCACCCTAAAAATAATTTACCATACCATTTCTATCTTTTTGCTTTTAAATGTTTGATAAATCCTCAAAGAAATTTTATATATTTTTTGCATAGTTGTAATTAATTGAAACTGCAAAATTTGCGGAAATATTATTTGACAAAATTAATTATCAATTATAATTATTGTTATATATTATATATTTAGAAGAAGGGATAATTACTTATTACTTGTTTTATTATTTGATTGGTATACTAATCATTTAAGAATCGGTCTTAAATCTCCGAACTTTTTGTTTTTTAGATAAGTTCATAGTTATCCATGTGTAATGCTTTGATTTTTTACTATTATTGTTGACCTTTCATACCTTCCTATGTCTTCCTAAAGTTTCTTGGTTTTGAACCATATATCTCTCTAGTTACACTCAAAGCATAACAAATATATTTTGGTATGACAGAATTCAAATATTTAATTTTTATTTCCACAAAATATATGTTACACAAACATCAACTAACAAGGCTATGAAAAAAAGTTTGTCCCATATAGTGTCATATCTATAAAATTGAAAACATAACAAAGAACAAAACAACCTGAGCACTGACATTTTTGAATAAATAATTTATTTATTTTGAAAAAGATATCGAAAAAAAACACACCAACCTATAGATAAAGCCCTTATATTTTATACCAACTAGAAACCATCAACATGTACGACATTAAGTTTTCTTTAACGAGAATCATGAAAGTAAGAAAAAACAAATTATTAGATAACAGTTGAAAAAAATAATTTTTTTATATCTAATGCAAAATAATTTCAATGAATACAATGTGTATAGTTTAACAAGCTAGAAAAGAAATTAGTTATATAAAGATTTATAATATCAATAACATTTAAATATGTTTAATTGTATTTTTTCTTTTAATCTCTTTAAATTTTTAATTAAAATACATAAGGTAATTTAAATTATGTATTATTAACAAATATTTGTCAATAATAATACAAAATTGTAGGTAATTAAAATTTATTAATATAAAAATTATCAATATTAAAAAATTCTTCAGTAAAATTATTATTGAAAATTTTTATCAAAAGATCATAAAATTCGTTGATAATTATTGACAATCACGATAAATATCTATAAGCATTTATCGACTATCACAAATTTATTAGTAATTACTAACAAATTTTTATCTAACCATTAATAAATGTTATGTTTGACTATTTTTTCTTCTCTTCTTTTTTTTTTTTCTCTTCTCCTTGTTGAACCTCGGTCTCCATTATCATTTTTTCTCTTTCTCGTCTTTTCCACTCGCTTAGTTCTTTTTTCCTATGTCTCCCCTCTTCCTTATCTTTTTTTCAAATCTGGAATTCACTTTCGATTCATAATTTAAATTCTAAAATTTGTCAATAAATTTAGGTTTATTACCAAATTTATTTTCGTTAATGATTTTTTTAATAATTACAATAATTATAAAAATTCTTACAGTTTCTCTCCATTAGAAGTTATTAAATTCTCGTAATGTTTATGCCATCCTACCATTCAAAAGTTACATCATAATCAATAATGTTGAGACATTGGTAGTGAATGGATAGATCAAAATCACTTAATTCTAATTATTGGGAGATAATGCGCAAATCCAAAAATTGGAAATATCAGCTTATTAAACATAATAAGGAGAGAAAAATACGATTTAGGCAAGATAAGAATAATATTATTTTTCCAAGATATTTTACAGCATTTTTTTCTTCACTCTCTTTTCATCACAACTATTTCATATTAAGTTTTTTGTCATCCTTTTTTATTTCTATCTTTATTATTCCTTTAACAATAGTTTTACTGTAAGCATCGATTATAGAATTGAAAGTACAAATGTTTCATCACTGAAGAAGACTATTTACACCAACCAATTTAACCATTTTCTATTAATCAATCTATGCTACATTTAAAGTATATGATATCCAACCAGTTCCATGATGGCACCAGTCCACAGAGATTCCTTTTGTGTACCCCATGTACCTGCGATGACAACCCGCCACTATTTAAAACTTCATTTGTAAAAGGCGAAGTGGTCCCTATAGTCTTATTTACCACTACACCTCATGCCAATGATTCCCGTTTAACAAAACAAAAACTAGAAGAGAAAAATAATATAATTCTATAAATTCTCTTACTTCATTCGTGTTTTTAAAACAACTTGTTGTTATACAATAATTATGAATAAAATTTCAACAGACTAAAGGTCACTTATTTAGGTTAAGAATAGATAAAATGACTAAAAATCAAAGGATAAATGTTTAATTTTTAGTATCGTGAATATTACGTACTAAATAGGATACACTTCTAAAGAACCAAAACAAAATAGTAAGGGAAGTTATAAATGCAAGTTTCCGAGGCTGTAAGCCTTTTTGCAAAAAGTTAGATCCCACTTTCCCATGATGGACCATGCTACGGCATTGCTTCTCTCTAACCGGTTCAGTCTAATGCTGTTTTACATAAGCTAATTAACAACAAAGATTAGATTTACTAGGATATTTAACACGCTGAATTCCTGGTCTTTATTGCAGCTCAGTCTTCTGCATACTCTACATAAACTGCATCAGTCCTACTCTCAGATTTCCAGCCAGTTCCTTCACGCTCATGTTGAATTCATCTTCCATCTGCCATCAATTGAAACAAACCAACACTCGTTGTGAAATTTCAAACATCTTTTTGAAAACTCCATTGAATTTAAAAAGGTTCTTTAACCTTGTGCAGTTGTTTTGAGGGATGAATTTTTTGATAGTAACAAAGGTACCTCGGCTCCGATGGTTTTGTCGAGAACAGAGGAGCCGAAGATAAGCCTGCTATTGATGACTGAGAGATGAAGTTTCTCTACCTCTCTAAAAATGTTCGCCAGCACTGCCTTTTCTTCTCGCAAGGATTCGAATCAGCACGTTCTTCTTTGAACCCTTGCTTCTACTTGTTCGCAGTAACAGATTTTTTTGGATGAGGGATCGTCAGAATTTCCGAACTCACCGGAATTTGATGAAGTGTCTGAGACATCCTCGTCCGCGGCAGCACAAACCTGAGCTTTCTTCCCACACGTCACCGGTTCATGGCTTTTCCTTTTGCCCTGTTCCTCCATCACTTTCACTTTTTCCTTCAACTCCTTCACGTACCTTATAGCTTCCACCAATACAGACACCTTGTCCATCTTCAAACAAATTACCATTCCTTAGTGCCATAATACAAATATATCTATTATCTTAATATTTTTGATGATATGATCTCAAAACTTAAGTACACTAAAGAAAAATGAACCTTTTTGAGGTCTGGAATAAGGGATGAGAGGGCTATGAACTGCTGGCTAATCTTTTCTCTCCTCATTCTCTCGGCAATTATGTGATCTTGTGTGTGATGAGAAGATCTGGCTGATGAGCCCGTTTTCTTGCTCTCCTGAGTACACGTTTTTGGTTCATTCTTTGAAGGCAGCTATCCACTTTTTTCACAACCTTGGTTTCTGGCTTTATAGCCGATTCAACCTTCGTGTTGGTGGATTGGTGTTGTCAAAGGAAAGAATATAGGAGCAGGGTGTGGAAGCTCTCATTTGTGAGAGTTGGTCTGTTTTGGCAGAGTTTGAAGTGCATGTCTTGATTAACTTCAAAGGCCTCTCTTCTATGCCACTCTCAGTCACTGAAGAGTGACTCTCAGTGGAAAATGAGCTCTGCGGATTCTCTTCTAATGCAGTGGCTATATCACGAGGAGATGCTAAACTTCCATTAACATCCTCCACCTTTGTGTCTGATACCGATGAAACTGTAATCATCTGGCTCCTGCAACAATGTAGTGAAATTTAAGCAAAAAGTAATAGCATGTAGACATTAATAATACCGATAGTTTAATAATATGACTTTACCATATCACAGAGCCAACTAGTCCACGATTCCTCCATTGAGGTCATCCTGTTACAAATTTTGCTTCAGTTTCCGCAAGCACGATGAGAGTACGAATGGTTCCTGAAAGTAGGAAGTAAAACAAATGATACACATTCTTTGGTTCATATATACCTTCCAAGAGAAAACGAGATCTCAATTACCTCTTCCAGCAAAATCTGAATACCTAAACGCGAACCCAATCTATGGAAAAGAACTCACAAGTTGGGCCTTTTAGATTTATAGAGGGCAGCACCCCAGCGCAGATTCTTCAATTTGTAGACATACTTTATTACGTGTCCGAAAGTGCTTGTTCCACTTGCTAATTTACCAGTATATCAGAGCTTGAATTTGTTGACACCTTTACCTGTTTAGATGAATCACCAGGATGATTTCAAAAAGAACATGCACATTTTACCTCTGCATATTATTTTGTGCCTGCCACACTTTACTGTCTGGTTAATCGTCGTATAAACTTTTTTATTTTAAATAATAATATTACGACACTTATATTCATTTGTTAGAATAGAAGGATAAAATCATTATAAAAATATAATTTTTTATATTTTTTCAAAAGAAAAAAATATAAAATAGAGAAAAATAATATTAAATGAATGTAAAAAATTTAAGTGTGAAAAAAATCATTTTGTTTTCTTTTTTAACGTGTGCATTTATTTTGATGATGTAATAGAATTTAATGTGATTGTCTATAAACCATCAAAATGTGTAAGAAGTTTTATTCAAGAAAACAAAAAATTGAAATATTTGGCCATGTTTTTGGTTTACTATATGAAAAACAGGATTACAAATATGCTTGTTATTATAGTTAATCAACAAAACCGTTTTTTTTACCATTTTGGTGTATCTGAAATTATCAAACGGTTAACTTTTAAAAAGTTTAAAACTTAGACAAGGAAGTTGTGTAGTGACCATGCTATTGAAGTTGTGTCAAATTATGAAAAAGTTAAATTCGTTACAGCTTAATTTTAATGTTTTACAAAATATATTAAGGTCATATGATATTGTAACAGTTTTAATTCTGTTTTATGAAATGTATTAAAGTCTAATATACTATCACTTCAATTTTTTTATCAAAAGCCGTCTTACTTGACACAATTTTTTTTCAGTTAAAATAAAATTGTTTTGGTATGACACAATTTTTATTTTTAAACCGTATTAACTTGACGTGACTTATTTAAATTTTATTTTTTTAAAAGTTATTCCATTTTGATAATTTCAAAATAAAATTAAAAAAAAACAACAAAACATATTTATAAACAAGATGGGGATTGGGTTTACATCTTCTCTTAATTCATAAGTTATTATTACTTGTTTCTAATTGACTTAAAATTGTTTTAAGATTCCGCAAATATAACTGTTTTTTATTTTTCACAAAACAAGTTATGTTTTTATTCAAAAATTACTCTTCATCACCTATTAAAATCATGAGTGTTATATCACTCACATGGAAGTCGGGATAAACTGATTAATATATGTATATATAAAGATTAAACCAAAAATATATTATATTTACAAAATTTAAATATAATATATTTAAATGAACATAAAACATGTTTTTTTTGTTACAATTCACGGAAGATTAAAATAAATGACAACAAATATTATAAGAGTTAAAAACTCATTTTAAAAAAAATCCGTGGACCTCCAACATATTAAATACCTGTAACTTTTGTTTTTTTGAAGGATTTCGATTTTACAATTGACCTTACAATATAAATATATCTTGTCCGTTGAACAAGGTACGGAAAACGAGGTAATTAACATTGCATTTAATGCATTTGTAGAGAGATTGCAGCTTTGAGATCTAAAAAGTTGTTCCCATTCATAATTCCTCCACTAGACTCACATTAGATGATAGGAAAATGTTATTTGGACAACAAAAGTTTGACACAATTTTGACAACGGCGACGTGGCAGCTGTGCATTGGTTCAGTGAATTGAAAACAAACCAGAAAAAACCCAAAATACCCCTCACCCCGGTTCACTGAGCCAATGCACAGCTGCCACGTCGCCGTTGTTAAAATTGTGTCAAACTTTTGTTGTCCAAATAACATTTTCCTAGATGATAATGCCGATGGTTTGCAGATTAACTTTATTTATCCCAAAGTGGTCTTAGAAGAAGCACTAAAACTAATATACTAATAATATAAATTATAATTATAAATATATCATATAACTATAAAACCGTGGTGAAAATATCAACCCTCGTGACACTCATATTTTAAACTGGTAAAACGATTATTGGTGTGATAGTAATTTGAAATAGAGCACAGCGGATGGTAATAAAATAAGATTTTGAAAAGATATTTGGATGAAAGAGATACGTTAACTAATTTTAGTTTTTTGAATAACTTAGTTTAATTTAATTTCATAAAATCAATCTATAAAATAAAATTTATATTTATTCATATATTATAAATTGATCTTATTTTTAGTTGGTACGAGACTTTTGATTAATAACGATGGTCTATATATTGGAAAATAGAATAATATGAACGAGATAAATATTGATTAATGAATTAAAAAAAAGTTTAAAAATAATAAATTTATGCAGAGAAAAGAAAGATGTTTGGAAATATGTTGAGGGTGGATTGAAATGTGATGTGTTGTGGAAAATTAAAGCATGTCATTTTTCAATTTTTGGCATGGAGTTATGTCTTTTTTAACTCCAAAGTGGCAACAGACATTTGACATATTTGTGATTCTTGGATAGGAAGATAATCTCATATTAGCATAGTGAAAAAAAATACATTTTAGTACATTTGAACTAATAGGGTGTAGTAACAAATGTAATCAAGTTTGAGGAAATATGTGGATAAACTATCATTTCGGCCATTTGTACTCAGAGATGACGTCATATTTAGAAATGCAATAGTTGAAGGTTTTTATGTTAAACCAGATCAAAGCATGAGTTTGGATCACAGATAATTATCCAGCAACAACTTTTTCTTAAGATTAGTGTTTATGTCTTTTTTTCAGGCATATTCATTGACGTTATACTTCATGTTATCTTGTTCATATTCTACTAATTTTTGGACTCTCTGAAATTATATTATGTGTTTGTTTTGATTCACATTATTGGAGGAGGTACACATGAGGAAATTGGTTCATGGATTTTTTTTTTTCTTCTCTATTTTTTTTTATAGGGGTTGGGGCAACCCAATTATCTCTTTAATTATATTTGTTATTGTTGTAAAAAAAAAACAAACTATCATTTTAAAATGTTGTAGATTCAGTTATAAAAAACAATTCAATGTCACTGCATTATACTGTCATTATTTTTACACCAGTGAAAATACATGTATTATACGTGCGTGTTTACTTTTTTTATATAACAAAAAATAATGAAATTATAATTATAAAAATAATAAATAGTTTTTACAATTTAATTATAAATAGTTTTATTTATTTTGTAAATGGTATTTTATTTCTTTAGTAGATTATTTTTATTTATTTAATTTTTAAAAATAGCTAAATCTAAAAGGTCGGTTGAATTTAAAAAATCAGTTAAATTTAAATAAAACAGGAATATAAAAGTGAAAAAAAGTGGACATAAAATCAGAACCTAAATAGAAAAGGGAGACTTGGACATATAAGAACTGGGAAAATATTCATAAATTAAAAACGAATAATATTTTATTATAAAATGGTATTTTAAAGTGTTATATTTTCAAATAATAGTATGACAATGAAATGAAAAAGATGGTGGTTAAAAACGCCATATTATACATTCAAAATTTGGTTGTTGATATATTATACCGCAAAAAAAGGCAATGATTTTAATTAATCACCATATTAAAATCGTCATTATGTACATGATTTTTATGTGTTGTATGAATTTGAATTCATAAAAAGATTATTCTTTTAGTTTTTGTCTTAGGATATTTGTTCTTTTTCGAAGATTAAAATTTTTGGATAAAATTTTCATTGACTCAATAATAAGTTAGATTGATGAGTCTTTATCTGTCTTTTTTATATCTTCTTCTATTATTTTCTTATTATATTACGGAAGAATCAAATTCAAAAATCATAGTACATTTTTTTAGATAAGACGGTATCATAATAATTTAATTATATACCTAATTTTGGAAAGAACTAATTAAACCAAACACAATCGTAGGAGTCAAATCATAAGATATGAAAGAAATTTTTGAATTTTAGTTTTAATAGTTGTAAATTCTTTGTTTTGTTAGGTCTATTGAGGAGGAAGTTCACCGGAGAAACACAATATCAATTAGATATGAGTCCAATCATATAAGAGGTTGACACAACTCTCTACCAAAAACGTTAAGGCAATAAGTTAATGGGTTTTTCAACTTATATAGTGCTCTACTTTCTCATTTTTATCCAAGTGGAAGAGACTCACCTTGAGGGGGAGATTGTTAGGAATCCATGTGAGTTTAAGTCCTACATAGATAAAAATGAGAAAGTAGAGCACTATATAAAGTTAAAAGACTTGTTAACCCATTATCTTAAGGTTTTTGGTAGAGAGTGATGTTGATCTCTTATATGATTGGACTCATATCTCATTTGTATTATGTCTCCTCGGTGAACTTCCTCCTCAGTAAACCCAACATGTTTATATGACAAACTTTTCTTTCACATTGTACTTGCAATATACGTAATCTTATGGCTTCTTAGTTGTTTAACATGCGGGTTAAACATACTCTCAATTAAAAACACACTTCAAACACGTTAAAATTTTAAGGTTTGAAAGTACTTACTTTATTATAGAATTGACTTTAATATAGAATTGTTATATATTTTGTTATGAGATTTGACTGTATCTAGATATATTTGGGTAAATAGTTTCCAGGTTTTGAAATTATGTAAGCAAAAACCAAAACTAAAAAAAATATATTTTAAAAGGAAAGTAGCTATAGACTACTATTCTAACAAAAATCATACCATATAATTAAATATATGCTACGATTCAAGGCAAAACCTATAGTTATACTTGTTTTTTTTTTCATTGATGCTTTTAAGCTACTATTACTTACAAAACCGTAGCCCTCTTCCATTGTTTTTTTTTACTTTCAATTTTTTTTATTACTTGTATAGCTACTATTCTATCAAAAATTGTAGTCTATACTTGATTTTTTTTTTAAATTGTTCTAGAAGGGTTATAGGCTTATGTTATCTTGAAACTGCAGCCTATATCCTCTCTTGGAAACTGAATTTAGGTTACAGTTATCTGGTGGAACTGTAACCTATACTTAACTATAAGTTACAATTTTCAACCATAATTTAAAAGTTTCTTTTTTAACTATGCCTAGATATACTAGGTTTTAACAACTATAGTTTAAATGAAAAATAATTGTATCGTTGCAGTGGGTTTTATGAATAGTTTTGTAAGCATACCTCATTCATAAAACATA